TGGGTTGTATAATTATTATCGAATGTTGCATGTTATCACCTGTTTTTAATTGCAAATTAAGAAAATGTTGTAAATGTTTTGGGTAAGTAAAATAAGAATTTACTAATACTTTCGCGTTGGCTTGCCTGACAACGGTGTAGAGAACCATCACGATCTGTTATGCAGATGGGTCGTGACAACATGGTATTAGAACACTAGGTTCACGTAGGTCTCACAAATCATGGGCAAACCTAATAGAGTCTTGTGGATCGGTACAGAAATGTGTGTATTTATCTTCGAGGGGTTATAGGGTGTTAGGAAAACTACTCTTTATTCATTTCCTACCGTGCAATGGTTGGTATACTAAATTTTTCTCTTCTATTCTCTCACAAATGATGAGGACACATACGACTAATGTTCCAAACCCGAAAGAAGCTACTCCCCCATTGCGAGAGGTCGAGGTAGAGGCCGGGGGAGGGCACCGACCCGAGGTAGGGGACGAGGGCATCCCAGAGTTATCCTAGTAGTACCACCAGCAGATCCTGCGGAAGTTCCTATCATCGAGGAGCAGGGCAAGGTGCCCGCAGCTGAGCCTACCCCGGCAGACTTTATGACAGTACCAGGTTTTTAGGAGGTCATGAGCTGTATGTTGCGGTTCATGGATTCTATGACTCAGGCTGGTTTATTTTCAATGCATCCAGCTGCATCACAGGTAGGAGGGAGAGCACATACCCCTACTGCTCAGGCTCCTGGACACGCAGCTGCAGTGTATCAGACTTCGGGTACACTACCCGCAGATAGGGCCCAGCTAGTTGCTGCAGTGGTGCCCCAGCCCAGACCAGCTGTGGACGGTGGCCCGCATAAGTTATTGGACAGATGGACTAGACTTCACCCTCCTATCTTCAGGGGTGAACATCATGAGGATGTCCAGGACTACATAGATAGGTGCAGGGACAGACTGCATAACATGAGGATATTGGAGTCGCATGGGTCGACTTCACTACTTTTCAACTTGAGGGCAGGGCCCGTAGATGGTGGCAGTCCTATGTTCTTGGCAGGCTAGCAGGTTCTCCTCCCATCACTTGGAGTAAGTTCACACAGTTATTCCTAGACAGGTATATTCCACCCTCTAAGAGGGAAGAGCTACGATATTAGTTCGAGCAGTTAGAGCAGGGTCCGATGTCGGTGACCGACAATGAGGCGAGGTTTTCTGAGTTATCCCGCCATGCATTGATGATACTCCCTACTGACACAGAGATGATACTCCTTACTGACGCAAATGCCCCTATATTTTTCAATTTGTGACTAAATCCATCGCAAAATTTTGACTGTATCTATCGCAAATATATTGTGACCATGTATTTTCCGACTGAACTTTTCAATTGGAAATCCGTCGGAAAAACATGATTTCTGACCGATTTCCGATTTATTTGAAGGTCGCAATTTTGCTATTTTTAGCAGTGAATTATTCTTGTTGAATTGAACCACTTATCCTTTAAACCACAAATAAATTTAATTGTTACCTAATTTTGGGGTAAACAGTTTAGCGCCCACCGTGGGGCTAATGATAATAGTGGTAATTTGATACGAATCTCCATAACACACCATATTTTACGCTTGTTCTTTGAAATCTTAATTTCAGGTCAGTCCAAAAATGTCAAACTCTTAGTCTGCTCACTTGAACGTTGGCGCTAAGTTTAGCCATCGCGGCGAAAATAATAATTTGGCGCCCAACAACGATGTGCCTCCTACTGATCCCAATGGCGTCCCTTACCAACTCGACCGATGCTAACTCGCATGTGGCCATCAACGTCAATTTGCCAACTAGTCCCGAAAATAGTGTTCGTGGGGACCCCGACCAACAGCTCGTGAAGCGCCCGAAGGTGAAGGTGATGGGGTGGGCCTGAAGTTTGATTTTCGAACTGATGTAGGCTCAACAAGCGGCAATAGCACAGCTGCAGAATCATAACCACACCCCCAACCGAATCGAGCACTAATAATCCCGGGAAAGCACCCGAAGAGACGAACAAATTACCGAGAGACCGGGAGAAGTCGAGCTCGGGATAAAGCGCGTGAAGTTATTTCAGAAATTTTCTTTAAAGATGTGAAGCTCATGCAGCGACATAAATATGATTGTGACATTGGCGTGTGTCGCATCAAAGTGACTTTTGTTGTTATTTTTGTGTTGGTACGGTTTGTAACTTCTTGTGGGTGTCATGCATTTTACGTGATTTTCTGCGTTGTTTTAGTGTGCTAATTGGTGACTCTGTTATTACTTGATAAATTGGTTGTCTAGATAAATTTACCTACATTGAGTTATTATCTCTTATTTTGTTGAGTTGTTGGTAACATAACGAATTTACATAAAACAAAAATTGTTATCATACTTTACTTTATTTGAATTTTTTATAAATTCTAAATAAATAAATCGTTATAATGCTTTACTTTATTAGAATTTTGATAAATAAATTTTGAACATTTTATTGATAATTGACACGGATACGATATACATGGTGGCATGAGGTCTTTGTCGTTCAGTTGTGGTGTTTATTGTGATACGAGGTCTTTGCCGTGCGAGTGTTACTTATATTGTGACACAAGGTCTTTGCCGTGCGAAGGAGATTGATAGTGTGGCCACGGGATGCCATGTGTATAAGCTTTGTGATTTGTGACTAGTGATATGAGATTATGTGGCATGGTACCTCGGAGTGGCTCTTATTATAAATTCAGTATTGGAACGGCTTGATGCATGATTTGAACTGTTATTGTTTTGCTTAATTTATTTTACTTGTACTTTTAACTATGTTTGATTATTTTAATGTTTTATCACATGTTTACTCTTTGTTGCCATTTATTGACTTTGTTTTCCCTTAGCTTTATACTTATATTTTTCACAGTTTTTTTCTATGTCTAGTGAGTGTCTTGACTTGAACTTCGTAACTACTCTACTAAGGTTAGTATTGATACTTATTGGGTAACGACCGTTGTGTACTCATACTACACTTCTGTATATTTTGTGCAGATCCAGGTATTGGAGGTACCAGTTCAAGGCAGTGAGATTTTCTTTTGTCCGTGAGGATCCAAGGTTGAGCTGCTTTGATTGTCGTAGTCCCTTGGAGTCCTTTCCTTACAATTATACCGTCAAATTCTTTGTCTGAACATTATTGTATTTTTAAATGTTATCTATGTATTCAATTAGAGTTTGTGACTCTGTACTTCATAGTCTTGGGAATTTATTGTGATTATTGCCGTATAGGCTTGTATCACCTTTCTTTCCGCATGTATATACTCTGCTTCATAATCACATGTTTAATTGGTTAATTGTTGTAAGCTATCGGCTTACCTAGTTTTAAAGATTATGTGTTATCACAATCCTTAAAATGGGATTTTGAATCGTGACATTATCCAGCAGCAATTAGGCTTCCACATCATCCCTCTCCTTCCTATTTTGATCATTCTGCACATGTAGTACTTGTATAAGTGATTTACGCTTAACTCTTTTATGGCCATCATTAAAATTAGGGTGAAATTCAAAAATATTCAGATTTATAATTGGTCGTTCAAAAATAACCCAATTTCAAAAGTAATCGAAATTTAACCACTTTTCATGTAAAGATAAATTTAAGCGAAAACACTGTTCAAAACCTGGAAAATACGCCAGTATATTATGCTGGAGTTCCAGCATAAGTATACTTGAACTCCAGCATATTATATTGGAGTTCCAGGATAAGTATGCTGGAACTGCAGCATAATATGATGGAGTTCCAGCATAAATACACTAGAACTCCACCATAATATACTAGAATTCCAGCAAGTATACCGGTTCAGCATAATACACTGGAGTTTGGAGCACCGGTGCTCCAGTCTCCAGTATATTATACTGGAGCAAGCAAAGTATGCTGGAGTTCATACACAAGTGCACCGAATTTCAGTATATTATGCTGGACCGGTCTCTGTTGCAGCAAAATAGTGGTTATTTTTCATTGAGTTGGTAAACGCTGACTATTTTTGAATGACCAGTTCGAAAACTGGTTATATCATGCTATTTTAACTTAAAATTATAAACCTAACAACTAGTGTATATTTTTTTGTATATGTGATTAGTGGTTGTAATTATTTTATCCGACCTGCAAAGTTTTTGAAACCTTAACGCTATGTGTCCAGCGGCCCCAATACATTATCCGAAAATATTCATTTTGAAAAATATATACGACTCCTTGTTTAGCTGTTCAACGAAAAGTATTTACAAAATATCCGAATCATTTAAAAATTATAATTAGGGGTGTCGCAGTGCGGTTTGGCTCATTTCCATAGCTACACGCCAAAACCCTATTAACAACTAAGATTCCCTTCATATTAGCATAAAGACTTAAATGAGGGCAAGTGGATCGGAACAAGAGACAAGTCTACTTCCAAATATAAAATAAGCATAAACATAAATATCCAAAAATATAGTATCAATGCTAGTCATCTGTCAGTCAACTTTAACTAATATTTCTTTGGCTAGTTTAATTTGACTGATTTCTGCGATAATTTTGTCCTTCACAGTTTAATTTTACAACTTTCTTAAAGTTAGGAGTATATAAGCTTTTCTAAAATTAAGATGTAGATCTATATATCAAAAATGTATATGACTTACAATTTCTCTCGTATCAAAATAGAGAAAAAGTTTACAAAACCAACATTTTAAGCAAAGCATTGTTTGGACTATCGAGAAAGAAGTCGTGGAGGTTTTAGGACAAAGGGAGTATTACAAGCTTAATTATGGTTATTAATTAATTTTATATGTCATCTTTTCGGAGGACTTAGTAGTACACGTTTCGAAATTTTTAAATATCTTATATCTATATGAGCCAAAATAGTTATCAAAATAGCACACTAAATACATAAAACAAAGACTCCAATTGAGTCCTGGATCTAGATCACGAAAAATTAGCTGATGCACTATGTATTGAATCACGATCTACGTCATTTCCAAGCACCTCTATTCATCAACTCTATATATTAGCTCTATATTACTTCTACTTTTCAAGCATAAACATTTTTCAATGGCTTCTCTATCTAAAATATGTTTCTTTCTTTTACTGATAACCTTAACCTTCCACTCTTCTCCTTCTGCTGCCCAAACAAAATGCGGCATAACTTCGGTTTACCAATTCGGTGACTCTCTAGCTGATAATGGAAATGCCATCCGTTTACCCGGCGTCTCTCTCGTATTCAGTACCAGCAAACTTCCTTATGGCGAGACCTTTTTTAAGAGACCTACAGGCCGTGCTTCAGATGGCCGTATCATTAACGACTTCATTGTCTCTTCTCTTAACCTATCCTTCCTAAATGCTTACTTGAACAGAAACACTTCTTTCAGCCAAGGCGCCAACTTCGCTGTGTCTGGCGCCACGGCATTGAATAACGCTTTCTGGGCTGCTCGTAATGTCACGTTGCGTCCTTGGAACAAGCATCTCGCTGCTCAATTAGCGTGGTTCAAATCTCATCTGCAGTCGACATGCGGCTCTAACTGTGCACAAACTCTAAAGAACTCTCTTGTAGTATTGGGTGAATTCGGTGGAGTTGACTACTTCAATTGTTTCTTCCAAAACAAGCAATTACCTGAGATCCGGAGATACGTTCCTCCTGTTATTGCCGAAATTACGAGAGGCATCAGAGATGTGATTCAGCTTGGGGCAGCTCGCATTTTGGTTCCAGGTGTTTACCCCTTTGGATGTCTACCTGTGTACCTTAACAAATTTTACGTGCCTAATCCATTGGCTTACGACCCATTACGTTGCTTGGGAAATCTAAATGTTTTCGCTTCATACCACAACATTCAGCTGAACATAGCTCTGAAAAAACTACAACTCCAGTTCCCAAAAGTTAGAATCGTTTATGGGGATTACTATGGGGCGCTTACGACTGTTCTTAGCAGAGCTTCTAGCTTTGGATTTAATCAAAACACATTGCTCTCTGCTTGTTGTGGAGGCGGCGGAAGATATAATTACGGGAAAGCATGCGGATCAGCTGGTGCTACAACTTGTCCTAATCCGTCTCAATACATCAACTGGGATGGGATTCATTTGACAGATGCAGCTCATCATCATATGGCAGATATTATCGTCAAGGACATGCTTCCGAAATTCGGGTGTAACAACTTTAAGGATTCGGGTATACTCATGTCTAGTTATTGATTTCAAAGTTTTCTTTGTTGGATAATTGGATGTTTTGACTGTGAGATGTATCTTTTCTTCTCCATCAAGAAGTATAAAAGAAATTAATAAATGAATGAATTTCACTTGAGCGTTGAATATTCCTAGAAGTATTGTGGTGAACCAATTGTCACGCGTTGATTGCAAAGAGTATTATATTAGGAGTGGACTTATAATTAAGTTGAATGGACTTTCTCACCTAATAGGCTAGACTTTTGGGTTGACCCCATGCTTAGAGTTAATTATGACATGAGCGATTATCATCCAGATATGCTTGCATGTTGCATGTGGTAATAGGACTCTTAGCATAGTATTTATGTTATTTCCTAGCTACTCTACATGTACTTATCTTCGATATGTGATGTACGTATCCCACGGGTGTACCTCCAATTATAAATAGATATTAAAAGCTCTATGATTTATTGAGCCATTCATCAAAATACTCTCATGGCATTAGATTAGCCTGTGTTGCTGCCGTTGAATTCTCCTAAAGGCTCTTTGTTAACTCTGTTTCCTTTTACAAAGCCTTCATGTGATAAGGCTCTCTTTTTTCCAATTACTAGTACGATATATATATATATATATTATGTATATTATTATAAAGCATGAATATAATGTCGGTTTACAAAAATAACTTTATAATATTAAGTATAATAACTTATAGAAAAAGGATATAACCGGAATTCTAGACATTAATTAGCCTTATAATCCTATTAATTTTAGGACATATACTACACGTTAGGAATCCTTCATGATGAATCCCACGATCTCACCTAACCTATGAGCATTAAGTTGGCACAATTAAAAAATGTTAGTAGTTTCACGACAAATATTTCAAAGAAATAATATTCTATTATTTTGGACTTCACAAATATTGTTAGTATATAAAACTACCGGCAAGCAAAAAATCAAATTGATGTATATGCATTAGTTTATTTCCTAAGCATTTAAAACATGAAANTATTTAGAAATAAAGAGAGTCTATATCTTTTGTATACTATTATAAAAGCACGAATATAATATTGATAGACCAAACTAGCCATAAAATATTAAACAAAGAACTCATAGGGAAAGGATATAACTGTAATAACCTATTTTTTGGACTACAATACCTTCTATGTTAAGTTTTATAATATTTAAAATTAGTGAAATTTTGTCTATTACATTCTTATTAAAAATATGTAGGAATGTCTAATAAAATCAACTTCATAAGAATCCTCCGTATTGGCAATGCATTCCCACTCCATAATATCCAATAGCAAGAAAAAATAAAAGTAATGTTAAATTGATTACATAAAACTTTGAAATTGAGAAAAAACAATTCCCACGATATATTTTTATATTATACTTGAATTGTTTTCTACTCAAATAATATTTTTTTAATTAATATTTCGTGTAATATTGAAAAATATACCAATTATGAAACAACAACCAAGAAACTATTTAAGAATATTTAAGAAAGAGAAAGAAAAATGATTCGTAAGAGTCAATAGCACTAATGATTCTGGAAATATAAAGATTTAAAAGTGAAATGTCATATCGATCTTTTTACTCTTTGAAAATAAAATTTATGGTGGATAAAATTATAATTAAGATTAAATATTCAAAAGAAGAGATGAACTAATGTTAAGAATCTAATCAACATAAAATAAATTATTTTTTTATGTTAAGACCAAATAATTATATCTTTCAATTAATTATTTAGCAAGAGAATCCAATTCAATTATTTTTAAATTCATAATATGAGTAAAATTATTTTTCAAGTTAAAAACAAATCTTAGGGTACATAAATTTATTCCATAAAAAAGAGCGTTAAAGATTAAAAAAACTAATCACATAGTAAAAAAGGTTAGTATATTATTAAGAATCAAACAGCCATACAAGTGCCTGAGGAAGCACAATCAAAGCTAAATCTTGAAGAAGAACAAGCTTTCAAGACTATATTATAAAGAATCGACTCTGGTATAGGGGGATTATCCTTTGTAGATGCCTCTGGCGGAATCGAAATAATTTTTCTATGTCGTGCATTACTTGCAAATATCATATCAAGAGGCATAATACTGTTCACAATAATAACAAGTGGTGTACCAATAAGGATTTTATTATGAGGTCACTCACTTTAGACTTGATATACCTCTTCAAACAACTGAAATAACCATCACAAATATAACAAAGCAAAGCAATGATATGAAATTTAAAAGGAAAGCATAATTGATAATATGGAATAACGCGCTTATAGTTAAATGTCAAATGATCGAAATAATGCACAGAGTTCTAGAGATATATTAAATATCAATAAACCATTTGATGAAAAACTAATGGTTTGGAAGATGATTTTTGTTAAGTACTATCAGTAGTTCCAAAATGAACAAAAGAAGAGATTGTTCTACCTTGCCAAAATTATACTTATGGAATCAAATGAAAAAGATTCAACTAACAAGAAATATAAAGTAAAAACGAATCCAATATTCAGTGACTTTTTGCTTCGTATCAGAAATGAAGAAGAGCATCCATTAAAAGATGAATCGGTTCTTCTAGAACACTTAGTTATCAACCCTAATGGTAATAGTAGTGTATTTAATAACGGAAATATTTCCATCACTAGATTAAAACGCAATTTGTGCAAATTGCATGATAGAAATTTAAAAACTATTTTATCTAGCAAAAATGAATATGTCGGTCAACTAAATAAAAGGTTGATTCCGAAGTTTTATGATAAAAAACAAAGTGTTTTTTAGTTTTTAACTCGCCAGAAAATGATATCAACAATTACTACCAAGAAGAATACTTAAATACTTTAATACGAAATGACCTTCTACCATACAAGTTTGTTGTGAAGTTTATTTTTCCTTATCTATGTTAGTGTCACCGTATATATAATAGACTAAGTTAAAATTGATCTTCTATTGCATATAGATAGATTTGAAGACAAATATGATTGTCATGTACTGAAAGACTTAGATCCGTCGAATAGCTTATGTAATAGCACACAAATAGTATATAGAAGTTTTGACAATAACACCATACATGCAAAAATTATGATATTGGTCATGTGCTCTAAGTATATTTTTATCCCCGAATTCAACTTTCGTCTTCCTAAACTAAAAAATATACTTTAAATTTGTGTGTAAATAATTTTCGGTAATAAATAAAGCACAAAGACAAAAATCCTAAATATTGAACTATATTTACCGCAATNTATTCGTCGAATAGCTTATGTAATAACACACAAATAGTATATAGAAGTTTTGACAATAACACCATATATGCAAAAATTATGATATTGGTCATGTGCTCTAAGTATATTTTTATCCCCGAATTCAACTTTCGTCTTCCTAAACTAAAGAATATACTTTAAATTTGTGTGTAAATAACTTTCGGTAATAAATAAAGCACAAAGACAAAAATCCTAAATACTGAACTATATTTACCGCAATAGAAGGAAACGTATACTAAAAAACATCGTCTACAAAGAAATGTTCAGTAAGATACCATCACATTAAATACTTTTAAACTATAATACATAGTTATCTAATTAACATAACTAAATTGATCATTTATGTAAATTTCTCATGATGTCTTTTCATTTTGAATTCAGGTATTATGCTAATGTAATAATATTTTTTGATATTTAAATGATTTAAATGTTTAAACCATCACGTGCCATTTGTAGATACTAGTTCTTATAAAAGCACGAATAATTTATGCTAAATGTTGAATGACTAAAATATCCCTTAAACAGTGATCAACTTTTATAACCTTAAAAATTTGTATAATTTAAGGATATAATTGTAAATTATTTAATGTAATTTGTTTTCAATTTAAACTACACTATACGCCGATCTTATAGCTGAAGTCTCTTACAAGTAACCATCGCAATGGGATTGAAGCCTTTCTTATTCAAACGTTTGATTCCTTGTGGGATTCTACCACAAATTATCTTAGTATTTAAAGGAAGCTGGAAGTCAATAATTTTATACAAAAGGTTCCATACGAAATTGATGTCACAGGGTGATTGCTACTTTAATAAATTGTGTATTTGCTTCTTGATAGGGTAGGTATTCCATAAAAGTAGTGGTTTCATATTTAGCTTATCAAGGCTAATTTTATTATCTTAAATTTCATTTAATGTACGCTCCCCTAATCTATTTTATTCTTCATGTTTTAGATTCTTAGGGTAATACATATCTTCTTTGGTGGTAAATTAACTATATGCCTTTACTAACTATTCTTGAAATTTCAAATTATGAGAACATTAACGTTTGCAAAATTTTGCCAGTTTTTTAAATTATATTTTACGTACGTTTCATGTTGATAGGTTGCAAGAGACTCGAGTTACGAGTTACTCGAAGATAATATTATCGTAAATTCTTTATTCTTGATTGTTAAATTATGTTATTCTAATATATTCTACTATTGGTTCTTGATACGTATGTATTTGATAATTTTTGCTTTGATTTTATTGCAAATATCATTATATTAATTTATAGACCAAAATAATATTTTCTTATCACCTGTTTTAGAAATTTATTAGATATAATAAAGCACGTTAAAAATGAATATAATTATAATATTCTATATACTACACAATATTTTTTTTCTATTTAAACTGCAAGTTTAGTTCTAATTATAATATGAGTCAAACATGCAACAAACTCCTAATAACTCCTACAAAGTTGTTTCGCTTCTTATTTTGGTATGTATCATATATAATTGATCAATTAACTTTAGACTACACCTATGAGATAATCTCAGACCCTTAAAAACTTATTCCTAATCTATATGGAATTATAATATCATTCAAGTATCCTCCTTATTGCTAAAGTTCTAAAGTCATACCAGTTAGACATGAATAAAAATATTTTTAAACACCTTTAATCATAGACAACGAAATCACATAATTATATGCCACAAGTATATATTTTTACAAGGTGCAAGTCTTGTTGATGTCTCGTCAAAGAGTCCTAGACTAACGTATAGTTAACATGGGAAACAAACTTCAAACTGGCTCCCATGTCCAATGGTAATAGCAAGAAAAATATTTTCATCATTAAGTGAAAATGTAAGTTGTGAAAATACATGATGGAAAGA